TGAGAACACTGATGTAGAGGTTTTCTTAAAGTGGACATTTCTTAATTCCTCATAGATGTCCACAGTATAGAGGTTTCAATATATAACCGAACTCCGCCCAGAATAGTTTTTCATTAGCAATCAATTAATCATTGCACACAAATATAGGCAGGATTAAACAAGATATTTAAAAAAAGAAGATCATGATATATGGTACAAGATTCCTACATTATATATTTTCAAATTACTAATACTTATACTAATATAAATACACATTTACCTTTAAATAATACAATACCTATATGTGGCTACGTCAATAGACAATAGTTAATGCAAATAAACATAATAATAAATATAATATACAATTTGTTTTTATTCAGTTTTAAATTAAAAGTTATTTTTGTTAATAATATCTTGATTCTCATTAAGAAAAATTTATTTTTCAAATATTTTGTCTGATTATAGATTTGATCTACCGGGTTAATGCACAAAACCAGCAAATGAAAATAAACGCTCAACAGGATCAAACGAACATAAACTTGTATTATATTTTAAAACTATTTTTTTATAGATAGATAATTGTTTAAAAAAATGTAATGTAATGTAGGTAGGACTCCTATCTAAGTAGTAGATTCCTAAATCATATTTTATTAGAACGAAAATTCCAATTCAGTTTTTATCTGTGTGAGTAGATAGTTAATATAGCTTATTAATTATTAGATTATCTAAGCTTATCTACTTAAATGTTACTTTTATTTTAAGTTTTTATACAAAATTTAATTTCTTAATATAAATTTTTACAATAAAAGTATCTTTAATCTTTTGCAAAATGAAATACATTGATACAAGTATAAAATGTACCATAATACATAATACTTGATACATTAAAAATTTGTCTCACGATATAAGACATATGATTCTGCTTAACACTTAATATGGGTGGGTACATTAAACTCCTTTCTATATATTCTATATTTCTAACTTCTCAACTACAACTGTGGCCCACCCTTCGTGCGAAATATGTCTGTATTTTTTAATTTTACTAATTTATAACTTTAAACAATTTATTAATTATAATTCTAAACAACATAACTTAACTAAACTTAATAACATAACTTGGCAATCTTTTTAAGTTTTAACAATATAAGAATACAAATAAATTGATTAAACTTTGAAAAATGACTTTTTTGGTAGGGTATGTAACTTAAACATAGCATAATACATATTGTAGTTGACTTTTTTTTTTTCGTATTTGAACCGACAGCAGTGAGGGATTTGTTTTCAAAATATTCCTCCACTGCTACTATTATTTATTGACAAATTACACCTGATATACTTAATTTAGATTCAGTTTCCTATATGCGGGACAGGCTAACAAATACATATAGGTAATTAACAAATTATCCAACGAAGGAAGAGTAAACCTATATCTAATTAACTTAACACTACTGTAGTTGCCCATACACCGAGTCTTTCCCGTCTGGTTCGCGGAACACGTCGGTTTGGAATCACGTTCTGGGACTTCTTCAAAGCACGAAAGCACAGACACCCCCCACCTACCTGGTGGTGGACTGTCACACCGCAGGTTACCGGTTGACTATCTTCGACCTCCTGATCTTCCCATAGTGTAGTTGACTTGGAGTAGTATGACGATGTCAACATATATTTAGCCATTTAGGTACCTCGATTTACTTAAACAATATTCAACTTTTTCATATCATATTTTATTATACTTTTTCATATTTTTGAAAATAATCAAAAACTTCATACAAATCTTCTACGTTTGGGAAGACAAATTTTTATTTCTTTAATATTTATATTTATTTAAATTTAAAAACATTTATATCCCCTCAAAAAACTACACGTAAAAAATAATCTTCTAATTCCTTTTGTTACATTTTTGATTTGAGATACAAAATGTTTTAATGTCACTTTCTAACCATAGCCTTAAATTTAAATCGATATTTTTAAGGTAGTAGGTGAGCTGCTTTATATTTATCCATTTTGCCAGTTAGAAATGATTTAGCTATTAATAGTCGACTTTCAAAGAGTGGAACATGGATCAGAGGTGCCTCAAGTTACACATAGGTTATTAAAACTTTCGTAACATCATATATACATATAGAGTGATTTTATTTATCAAGAACTAGTAATTATCTCGGAGGATTTTAAATGAAATTAATTTCTTTTTTTATCATTGTGGAATCATTTAAGCTTTATTTTAAAACCATTTTTAATTTTTACCTCTATTCCATAAACCTAAAATAAGTAAATACTTTTGTTTTTTAAATAGAAACTCCTCGTTTTGAATATAGATTTGAATAACGAATGTTTTTCTAAAAATTGTGATGTGTATACCACTATTATTAAAGTTACAGTTTATGAATTATAACAATTTAGATCGGAAGAGTAGAAAAGAGTTATAAATTCATCCTTCAAAAATAAATATGCAATTTATTACCCTTCCCTACTCCTCCACTATAAACTTTAAACTGTCAATCTGATATTATTGTTATGCATATAAAAATTGCTAGAAAAATATTCTGTATTCAAATTCGTGTTCAAAAAGAAGGGTTCTTAATTAAAAAACAAAAGTATGTACTTATTTAAGGTACATGGAGTAGGGATAAAATTGAAAATAGTTTTAAAATAAAGCTTAACTGATCCCACAATAGTTAAAAACAAACAGAAATCAAATTCATTTAAAATCCTTCGAGAAAATTGCTGGTTCATAATAAAGAAAATCGTCTTTATTTAAAATATAGATTAATTTAAAATATAATCAATACAAAAATAACAATATTCAAAGAGCTTTTTTTTAAATTTGAGAAATGGTTAGTAAACCAATGCTTTTATGTACACGGACAATAAGAATTAAGAATAGTCAACCTGAGAGCCAAATAACAACTAATTTATTATCAATTTAAAACATACTTACTAAAAATTAAATTTCTCTACACTGTACTAACTCGATATCAAATTTTGTGGGGTCGCATACAAATCGGAAAAAGATTTCTCCGTAACAGTATTATTTAGTAAAATATTTACTTGGCATTAATTATTATAGTGGAACGATTTTTTAAAAGAACGATACAATTCAAGAATAATATTATATAGGAATAATATTTTGTCGGAAAGACAAAATGTCTACAACTGTATAATAAACTGTACAATTTATGTTCAATGACTGAAGAAGGAATATACTGAACACAATATTATAACTTCTGACCCTCCGTTATAACCGGACTGTATTTACTTTTCTGGGTTATTTTTCCTTAATCATTTTTTCTTTAGTCTACTCATAAAACAATACGAAATTAATTCGATCGAAAATATTCATAAAAAAGTCAGCGATTAATCGTAATTTCTATTTCTATATTTAATTTTTAATACTTGAATGCTAAATACTACTATATTTGATTGTAAAATAATTGATTCACTATAAGGTACATAAACTGCATTCATAACTATTCATTTTGCTCAAAAAAACCGATTTCTATAACATTATAGATTCGTAGAATTTTGTCAATCTAAACTACTGGTAAAAAATGAGTTTTAAGTATAACTAATATGTCTATTATGTAACTGGAATATTAAGGCCATATAGTTTTCTTTTAATTTTAATATAATATTGTAGGTTATTGCGTTAATAATTACATAAATTATATGCAATTATTTAGTATTTTAGGGGTTATTTTAAATTTTAATAATATTTTGTCTATACTCAAAATAATATATGTGTGCGTGTACTAAATTGTTTTTTATCAAATTTTATGTATATCTACCCCTTAAAAGGAAAAACAAATTCTAAAGTTTATTTATCATTACTTTGGATTTTAAATTGATGAACTAACAATTGGTTACATTTTCAAAAGTAGGTATCTATAGTATGATTATATTGTACAGAAACTTAAATTATGTACATAATTATTATTCTATGTAAATTAAGATGGAACATAGTTAAAAATTCAATAAACAAATCAGCTAAAGTATTCAAAAAAGAAATGACATCCAACGGCAAGAACTGATGGTGGTAGTTTAGTGATCGGTGCAGGTAAGATATATGAAAATACACAGAAGCAAGACCCATCCCCTGACAATACAAGGGATAGCAAACAATGCTTTATTAAAAGCATCAGGCAACAAGCAAAATATTGAGACAGGGAAAAAGAGCAGCAGAAAAAATGCTTGTCCAAAAGTTAGAAGAACATAAATTCAATCCAAGATTATTCTCTAAGAGATGTAGGTCGATGAAGGAAAGTTTTAGGCACAACCCTTGATACGAGCCCGTTGTAGTCGCAAGTACATTAAACGAGCGCTGTCATAGTCCACGGTCAATTTTACTCTAAAGAAGATTTTATAATTAATAACTATAACTTTTAACAATTGAAAGATTTCAATTATCTTGAGGCGTACTTCAACCAATACAACCATATGCACAATAAAATTAAACAGAGTATATCTACTATTAATAAAGATTATTACTTATATTATTATGCTTTAAAAAAATTTTTCAACGAAAACTTCACTTTAGATGGTTAAAGGAACGCCTGTACTTGAGTTTAATACGACCAATTTTAACATATGCGTGTGAAACCTGGTTGACTATTTATTAAAGGAAAGGAGGAAAAAATGGCTTGTTTTGAAAAAAGAATATTTAGAACCTATTTCAAAAAATGAAGTGTGCAAAAGAACAAATATTCCAGAAATCCATTTTATATGTATGTATTGTATGTATTGTATGTATTTGATATGTATATATTTCATAAGTCGAATGGGTACAGATCTGGCAGAGAAAGTAAAAGGGAAAAGACCTAGAGGTCGTCCTAGACAACGCTGGGTAGACAGGATCAATGATGATTTAAACATACATTTTGAACAGTAAGTAACAATAGCGGAAAGCATGGATAAAGTCAGATAGAAGAATGTAATAGAAGCAGCGAAAATCTTTTAAGACCGTAAAAATTTGAGAAGAAGGAAGAAGAAGAAATGAATATAATGGTATTAATATCTTTCTTACCTTTTATAATTTATATTAAATATGCTGTTATATTAAACTCAAAAGAAAACATATAAACAAGAAAATGTGCAAATACAATAACAAAACACTTAGGTTTAGTTTTTAAAACTATAAATATAATAATAATTATAAATTAACTAAAATAATACATTGGGAAATTTTCTAAGTACTCATTGTACCTACGAATTTTTAAATAAAATATCTAGCCAGAATAATCTCCACATTTAAAACATTTGCAGTCCGCTGGTTCTTTTAGTTTCACTTCTAATGTAGCCAATTTTTCATTTGTCAATCTCATGCCATCAGGATCATAACAATGTGTAAGAGTGATAATCCTTTCCCTCAAAAATGTTTCACGACAACAATAACATTCCTAAAATTAAATCATGTTATACAATACAAATTATGATGATAATTATTGTAATTCATTGTATATTGTTTTGTTACGTTTTATAAATTTGGTTAGGTAGCTAAAATAAAATCTATGTACCCATGTATTAGGTACAAAAAAAGTAAATACTTATGCAATTTATTTTGTTTTATTATTTGTAGATAATCGTCATTGAATTATTTCAAATAATAAACTTTTATAATAAAAATATAATAATTAATGGAAATAAATTCTCACTTGGATTTCGAAACTAAATCAACAGTCATATTTTGTTTTCGTTTGGAAGCTATGGGGTAAACTTCATTAGACGTTTGTAGCTCTAAAATTAAGCCAGATAGACATTCTGACTTCAATAAAAAAACATATTTTGATTACAAATCAAAATATCAATAACTTTTTGAATTAATTTCTAAAATATTATTTTTCAAGATAAATTTACAAAAACTATAAAAGTAAGTATGAAAGGTAAATTTAGATTATCCCAATGGATTAAGCATTTTAAACACACATTTAAAAAAAAAAAAATTGAAAATGTTAAATTATAACTAAGAAATAAATGAAACAGAAAACCCGAACTTTATGAAGTTTTTCCCCAAAAACCCCCAAACGAAGTAATTGAAACTAACAATAAAGCAATTTAAGATTATGGTTATTAGAGCCTGTGATTTAATTTAAAAAAATTGTCTTACGGGAAAAAATGTCACGTTCTATAGAATCATTGGATTTCATTAATTTTTTTTCATTCACACATTTTGTTGTTTTGAAAGAAGCCTGATTTTCAAAATTCGAATTATCGAAGCCAAATTAAGTAATATGAATAATATCAATATTTGTTATTTTAGATTCGAAGCATAGCGAGGGATCTATTGATTTTACCATTATGTGTATTTTTTTTTTTTTTTTGTGTGTCTGTGAGCAATTTTTCTATATTTACCAGAAAACTTGCTTCGAAGTATAGACTATAGCACCTTTTCTGAATGGTTATTTTCTCTCGTCGGTGCATTTGGGTTGTATTCTTTTGTTTCTAGAGTTTTTTCGAAATAATTGGAAAAACCTCGAATGAAAATTGTAGGTAAAACGACAAATATTTACGGCAAGCCACGGCGTTACCGTTTTCAGTGTTTTTAGTATGTACAAATTAAGTTTTCTACCAGAAATATCCCTGGTAACTTAGTGGTCAAAAAAAGGAAAAATTTAGTGTAATATTGTATTTCTTATCTTAGATTTTGAGTGGAGCAAAGAATGTATTGGTTTTACTAAGGTGTTTATATTTTTATTTTTTTTTTTTATATTGTGTGCAAAAATCCAACAAGAAATCTTGTTCCAATATGTACGCGCGGCACCATTTCTGAAAAAAAATATAGACCAGATGGTATATTTGGGGGGTAATTTTTTGATTTTCCAAGCAGTTTTCATAATATCTGGAAAAAACCAGGATAAAACGTAAAAAAAACAGGAAATGTTTTTATAATTTATCAATTTTGTTATTTGTTGTAATTCAGTTTAAAATCTTCATAGAGACTTGAAATTTGGACAAAAAACTTATATTTGTCTTTTTTAAACGTGGTAAATTGAAGCCATTTCTAAACTATTTATGACAAATTTAAATTTTGTGAGTTTTGTACGTAATTTTTATTCTGTATGTACTCTGTGGTAAAATTGTTTGACTTAACGGAAATGCTTGAAAACTTAATAGGAGGCTATTATGTCTTACTTTTTGGTAAAAAAAAAAATTAGTTTAATGTAGTATTTGTTTTTATTAAAGACTTTTGACGAAAATTGCTTTAGCAAAAAATTATGTAGAACAAATTTAATTTTTCAATTTTTTTTTTTTTTTTACATATATGTTTTACCGATTTGAAAAAGATAAGATGGTGAAGTCAGAATTGAGCGGACTGACTAAGTTTCGAAATTATAGTTTTCTGAGGTTTAAATATTATGCAGATATTGCATTTTTATATTAAATAACTCTATATTATATTTTACTAAATGTTTGTTGTAGTTGAATGGTAATGAGTGCGTGTTGTCATGGGTCATGGGTCATGGGTTCAAACCCACCGGGTTTTAAAAGAAATTGTTTGCATTTTTTTCCCTTTTACTTAGATAGGGAAAAAACAAATGCATTTTAAGTATACCTAGAAACAAAGCTATTGCTTGCTTGGCGATTTTAATGTAAAAATACCCCTCGATTTGTTGTGCTAACTTTTCTATCAGGAATATTGCTCTCATGTATCAAGAGTAGTTTATTTTCTGAAAGGAAATTTTATCTTCATGAGTTAGGGAAGTAATTTTTGTGATTTTTCAGTCGATTTTCATAATAACAGGAAATAACTCTGATAATTTGTCGGAAAAAAGGAAAATATACAAAATGTAGGTATTAGTAAAAGAAATATTATGACTTTTTTTTTTCTGTGTATAACTTTTCTACAAGCAATTTTGCTCAGATTTACAATGATAGCACTTTTTCTGAAAGTAAATCTGACTGGAAAAGTACTTTAGGGAGATCATTTTTCGATTTGTCCAAGATTTTTCTTTGCAAATGTGATAATCCGGGAAAAAACATGGGAAAAACAGGAAAATCGATACAACATTAAACAAATTATATTGAAGAAAATATATAATACCTATTTAATTATTTTATCATAATATGACATATATATTGTTGACAAAGCAGCACTATCAACTGAGCTCCACTAAGAATCGGTTTTCCGTTAGCAATGGTTTATCGTTACTTACAGTTGTACATTAAATTACTTATAAGTTATAACAGTAGCTGCACCCGACTCCATTATCCTAGGACGTCTTTTTTAGATTTTTATTTCAACTATTCGAAATGTAATTGATCATATTATTAATATGTATTATTGTTACGATTATTATATATATTACATTATCACCTACTTTTTGATTACTGTATTTGTATAAAATATTGTTTAAGACATTTTTATGGATTAAATTATATGATATATAAATCATATTGATACTGAATATAGGTTTAGTCCTTAGTCACTATGGTAAGTGGGAAGTTGAGAAGGTAGAATACATAAAGTTGTTTAATTTAAATATGTATTTACGCAATGAAAAACCATTACTAATCAAAAACGATTCTGATGTAGTTCATTTGTACAATGTTTTGAAATGCCGTAATTTTTACGATTTTCGTAAATATCTGATTTTAATCGCTTATAGAAAACCTAATGTATTACGTAACTCATTTTTTGGCTACTAATTGAAAATTTTGATAAATAAAAACTCAAAAACTCAAACATTTCAAATGCCTATAAATACGAATAGCTTAAAAATTTTCAGAATGTTTAGACAAATTAACCAAGTTCATAAAGCCTAATATAAGTATTTTGTAAAAATCTCAAGTCCCCAATAATTATTTTTAACCTAATTAAAATTTACAACAAAAAAACAAAATCGAAAATAATGAAACCATTATTAATGCCACTATTATGAAAATCACTTGAAAAATGACTTCCTTAATGCACCAACTAAATACGAAATGCAACAAAAAAAACGTAACTTTTTTTTGTTTTTTTTTATTGGAGTAAGATTTCTTGTGGGAAATTTACTCATAGACAGAAAAAAAGAAGCCCACATCATAGTAAAACTAATACATTCTTCTCAAAGCTCATCTTTTAAAACAAAATTTTTTTTTTTTTTTTAATAGCTACAATCAAGAAGAATTTTGTACAAATCAGATATTTAGAAAAGTACCTATCTCATAGGACTTTTTTAAAATGTTTAGATACAATTTATTATGAAATAAAATTATATATATTGTACACAAATTTGAATTATAAAATTCACGTAATATTTATATAATAATTAAATTATAAAGTAATACTAACTTTTAAGAATCCACTAGGAGTTATGACACTAGGTTGTACTTGTGAGTTGCACGCTCCTTCGCACTTGTTCACCGCTATATCACCATTGCATGTTCTTTGTAGTCGTCCGAGTTCATCGAATTCCTCTAAATAAACCATTATAAAAATTATAAATTGAATTAATTTAAAATAATACGATATAATTTACCTTTAATGATATGCAATTCAGAAGGTAAAGTTTCACATTCTTCTGGGTGGTCTTCTGAAAGTACGTGGTGGACGACAAAAATCATGATGGAGATGATAAACAATTGAGTTGTATTCATTATTTCTAATAAATGTTTATAATATATAAATGCCACGAAACAGCAACGTTCTATAATATGTATTAATATACTTACACGATATAGTTGTCGATGAGGTTTATAAAAATAGTTTAGATCAGTGACCGACAAGTTAACAATGACCATTAACGTCCACGACAAAACTGTTTATAACGTCTAAAGTGTCTACAGCGCTCACTTTCAACTAACATAAATGTTATTGAACAAAGAGGGTGGTTAAACTTATCTCCAGGAGGTCTTTTAATGTAAACGCTTTTATCATGTTGAAATAAAATACATCACAAACGCAGTGGCGTCATTTATAAATCATAGTTACAAGAGTGTGTGTAATTTACGTCTCACTATTTTGTTTCAACCTGAATATTTATAATTTTTATATATCATGAATCATATAGTTATTAAAATAAAGTGTACGATATTATCCCAGTTGTGTACAAGTGAGTGTACACGGGAGGGGGGATATGAAAATTTGACCCACCATCATCTTTTTACTATCGTAACTATTAAATATAAAATATTCAATATTAAATTTTATTATATTTAGTCTATATAATAGTTGTGCTTTTGATTTTGATATTGAATGAAAAATTAATCAAAATGAAAACTTACTTTAATTGTTGAAAAAAAAAATATTACCAAAATAACGAAGAGGCTTCCCCTTGGTACCTTTTCTTTGATACTTTCTTTTCAAAAATAAAACTTATTGTATATCTAAAAAACCTTTTTGGGGAGACAAACATTAAATAGCTTAGTATAAATCTATAATATAGCCTAGGTAATTTACTATTTAGGTACCTACCTACAATACTTAAGTACGTTTACATTATATTCAATTATAACTGCAGGTAATATATGCGGACTTTTAAAAGTATGCCAATTTCTGTAGGTGTTCAAATATTATATTTAAATGTATTGAGAAATCGTATTTTAGTACTTTACCAAACAAATATTTGAGTAAAAAAATGATACAGATAGTTTTGTAAAGTATTCTTATTTCTGTATACCTACTTTAAAAAATATATAATATCATATAAGAAAAATTGTTTATACATGAATAATTTTGATAAATATTATAGTTATTATATTATTATTATTATATTATTAATATTATTAATATTATATTATGAGTACTGTAATAATACCACACTAAATTTACCAAGTACATTCCATAAATTATAATTGATATTTGATGACTGGTTGTGATAAATTAATTTTTTTTTTTTGAGTAGGTAACATTAGATTCTTAGGTTAAATCTATACCTGTAACATTTTAGATTCTGAGTGTAGCAAAGAATGTATTGGTTTTACTAAGATAATTATTCTTTTTCTCTTTTTATCCTGTGCTCGAAAATTCTACCAGAAATCCTGCGCAGATATATACGCGTGTCACCATTCCTGAAAGGGAATGTTGACCAAATGGCACTTTTGAGAGGTCATTTTTTGATTTTCCAAGCGGTTTTCATATTATCTGGGAAAAACCAGGATAAAACGTAGAAAAAACTGGAAATTTACAAAAATAATGCTTTTATTATTGTTTAATTTTTTTTTTTGTTGTAAAATAAATTGTTGTTTATTCAGTTAAAAATATTCATAGAGACTTGAAATTTGGACAAAAATCTTATTTTTGTCTTTTCTAGTCATGGTCAAATTTTCAATTTTTTATTTATTGACATTTTAATTTTACGAATTTCGTATTTAATTTTTATTCGGTAGGTAGTAAAATTTTTAGTCTTGAACAAAAATTCTTCAAAATTTAACAGGAGGTTCATTAAGAGTCTTACTCTGTAGTCAAAAAAAAAAAGACAAAGATAGAAAATCATTGTTTCCAATAATTATTATTACAATATATGATGTTATAATTTATATTTTTAAGTATAGAAAATAAAAATAATACTATAAACTAAATTTCATAATATGTTTTGAAAAAAATGATTTTAATGTAGTATTTTTTTTATAAGGGAATTTTAATATCAAATTTTGACCAAAATCGTTTGAGTAAAACATTATATGGAACAAATCTAATTTATCAATTTTTTTTTCTTTTTTAATATATGTATATTGCCAATTTAAAAACGATGTAAAAGTTAGAATTAAACGGACTGACTATGTTTTGAAATTATAGCTTTTTGAAATTCTGATATTAAGCGGACATTATATGATATGTTAAATAACTCTCTATTGTACCTCTTTAAGCATACTTGTGATCTTATGGTTATATATGTCTATTATCATCCTAAAGGTTCTGAGTTCAACCAGTGTTTCGAAAAAAAATTGTTCGCATTGTTTCCCTTTTTACCTAAACAAGGAAAAAACAAATGCATTTAGGGTCTATCTAGAGACCCAAGCTATCACTCGCTCGGACTATTTTAAACGCAAAATACTCCTCAATTTGTTGTACAAACTTTTCTACCAGCAATTTATTTTCGATTTAAAATAATAGCACTTTTTCTGAGACAAAACTGACTGGGAAGGTACTTTAGGGAAATAAATTTTCGATTTTCTTAAGAGTTTTCCCAAGAAATAGAAAAAACATGGGAAAACCAGGAAAAATGGGAAAATCGATACAATATTAAACAAATATTGTTAAAGGAAATATATAATGCCTATTTAATTATTTTACTACAATATGACATATATATTGTTGACAAAGCATCACTATCAACTGAACTACACTCGGAATTTTTACACTCGTTTTTTCGTTAGCACTGGTTTATCGTTGCTTACAGATATACATTAAATTATCTATAACAGTGACTGTACCTGTCCCCATTATCCTAGGACAGCTTTTTTAACGCAAATACCATATTAAATAATACTATAACATTAAATGTATTGGATGGATAATTAAATTAATATTAATCAATTAAGGTTTCACAATTAATAATTGTATAGCTACCTATTGCAAAGTAAAATGTTAAATCTATAGAACTTTTATTTTTGATAATTCTTAATTAAAAATAAATTCAAATTTACTTTATGTATCTACCAAAATATTTAGAATTTTACATGTAGAGATACCTCGTATCAATAATATTAGATGCCGAAAACTTGACTGGTTATTTTTAAATACTTATAAAGTATTAGAATACTTTTACTCAAATACTTTAAAAATTCCAGATAGTTTGTATCATGTATCACCCAAAAAAAGATTTATTTATGAAATTATTAATATAAGATGTTTTTTTTTTTTTTTTTGATGAATTTATAGATACCATTAAGCGTGAAAATATACCACTTGACTACAACTCAACAGTATGTCCGTATAGGTACCTTTATTAGGTACATAAATTAATAATTATAATACAATTTCTAAAACTGAAGAATATTCAAACGTTAGATATAGGTAATTATAATATTAAATCCTGAATGGAAGGAGAAATGTATTGGTTTTGTAATGATATTTATTTCTTTTTTCTTTTTTTATGAACTAATTTTTTACCAGTTATTTTGCTCAGATTGACAATGATATGACTTTTTCTGAAAGAAAATCGAACTGGGGTAGTTACTTTAGGGAGGTTACTTTTGATTTTCCCAAATGTTTTTCCAATAAATTGGAAAAACCTGGTCAAAGACGGAGGAGAAACGGGAAAATAGGTTCAATATCAGACAAATATTATTAAAGAAAATGTTTAATGCATATGTAATTATTTTATCACAATATATGATATATACGTATATATTGTTGACAAAACAACGTTGTCAACCGAACTAAGAACAGAATCGTTTTTCTGTTAACAACGGTCAATAGTTGCTTACAGATAGACATCAAATTCTCATCTATATTCTACCTTCCCAAATTTCCATCTACAACAATGGCGGCACTCGTCCCCATTATCATATGATAGCTTTATTCCCATAATATTAGTTTTTAAATAAAGGTATAGAACCACATATAAAATAAGTACGCGTAGGTACGCTAACCGTAAAACAGAGTAAATCTAAACAGTTTTTAATAGTCTACCTTGAAGAACTACGAGTAGTTTTTATTTACAGAAAAAAAAATCAAAAAATAAGACCAAAAATACTACCAATCTCTTTCAATTCAATAATTGTTGTATCTGTACATTGAAAACTTTTTTTTTAAGTCAATTTATCCGGAATAGTTCCACTAAGGGGGTGATTCCAGAAACCTAATAATTTTCCCTCAAAATCAAAGTAAAACTGTTAAAGACAAACATCAGATACTATTTTTGATTTTTAAAAAAAATAATCAACTTATTATATAAATAATTTAACGCTTAAGCTTTTATTTAATTGATACAGTATTTAAATTATAGTTTTAAACAAAAATCATTAAAATACTTCTTTTATAATATTTCGTTCATAACATTTACATGGTTATTAAAAAAAAAAACCATATTGCTTGCAAATAATCTATTGTACAATATTTCAGTTACAACAATTTATTTATTAGATATTTAGACTATTTTGGAGTAGTTTTGTAAATACTTTACTTTAGGAAAAATAATTACAATCATTTTTGTCCCTGTAATGTTTCCACTAAAATTATTTTATAATACTTTCATTTTTTTTTCTTGACGCCAATGAACTGTCTGGATTTAAATGATTCTACGTGTATATACTTTACAAGAACCTTGCAAGCTGAGCAACCTAATCTATAAACCATGTAAGCTCTACAGGAGGGATATTTCCTTTAATAAATCATAAATGTCGGAAGTTCAACCCTTCAAAGTCAACTACCACTCACCAGATTATTCACAGTATGATCTTTGAGTCGTAATGTCTATCATCAACCAGGAATTTTTCAGTAAGTTAAACTTTAATACTGTTATACATTTTTATCTTTGATAATCAAAAAGTATTACCTTAAACAATATTTTGTTTTATTTTAATATTAGGTGTATCAATACTACGCTATTAAATTTTTCTATTTTTAAAATTAAACACATACCATGTTTTAACTTATTAATTTAAAATAAATTTACCTATATATATATATATATATATATATATATATACATACATAATTTACTTGAAATTCTAGGATACTTTGCAGTATTGGCTATGTGCAGCATGGCCTTTGCTGATGGTGGTAATGGGGTGGTTGTAACCGCTAGATCTAACGATGATTGTCAAGTAACACCTGTTATCCATGTTTTACAATATCCAGGATGTGTACCTAAACCAATACCTTCGTTTGCTTGTACAGGACGTTGCAGTAGCTATCTTCAAGTATCCATATTATATATTTAAGGGAAATGATTTCATAGTAGATAGCAATAAAATGTTTTTTTTTTTTATTAACATTCAATAAGGTTTCCGGTTCTAAAATATGGCAGATGGAAAGGTCTTGCATGTGTTGTCAAGAGAGCGGTGAACGAGAAGCTTCAGTATCATTATTTTGTCCAAAAGCTAAACAAGGCGAGAAAAAATTTAGAAAGGTATATATAATCTGATTATATTTAAAAGGGTTTTTAAAATATTAAAATAAGTTGTTAAAAAAAATGTTATCTATATAAAATTCAACAAAACTAAATGTTAAGAAAAAAAATAGGAAGTGCAACCAATAATTATTATACTTAATAATTTAATAATCGATTAGTAAACCTAATCGATAAATATGTTCAATTGATTTATATATAGTTTACCTTACTTTACCTATACTTACCTTTTATTGTCTCATTTTAAAATGACGGTGGTTTACAATGCATACTTTTGGATAGTACGTGTAGTCAAATGAGATGTATTTCTAGGCCAATTTTAGTTTCCAATAGACTTATACAGACACTATTTAGTAAAAAAATAAGTAGATAGCTTCATTTTTTTGTAACATCACGTTAAATAAAAATAAATTATTTGTATGTAGTAATTTTGAAATAGTATAAAATTATACTATACATTTATATTATTTTGAATAAAAGTTTTAGTATTTTCACACTTAGAAAAAAATTTAAAAAAAGACATACTAGGATAATAATTCTAAAATTGTATCACGTTTATAAATAAATAAATAAAAGTTTTCCGCTCAAATGTCAAGTCTCTACGAATATTTTTAACTGAATTACAATAAATAACAAAATTAAAAAAAAATAAAAGCATTATTTTCGTAAATTTCCAGTTTTACATAAGTTTTATCCTGATTTTTCCCAGATATTATGAAAATCAAAAAATTACCTCCCAAAAGTACTATCTGGACAACATTTCCTTTTAGAAATGGTGTTCCGTGTATATATCGAGATTTCTGGTAGAATTTTTGTACACAGGATAAAAAAATAAAAAATAATAATTATCTTAGTAAAACCAAAACATTCTTTGCTATACTCAGAATCTAAAAATAACAAATAGGTAGGTATTATGTGTAAGTAATTATTAGATAAGGCACAAGGCCAGAGGGCAGTAACGTAGTCAGAATTTATCAATGAGGATGTTTTAAAGGGTCTAGAGATGAATAGTGTCCTACAACCTTTTCAACCTTACCTAAAACTAAAAAAGCAATAAGGGAGGGGGAGTCCAACCCTCTCACGACTACGCTACTGCAAAAGGTCTTGGATAAACAATTTTTTGAAAATACTGTTTTTATGCAAAACAATTATAAATCTATTCCTATCATCTTAAATATTTGCTTAATTTTTATGACAGGTAACTACGAAAGCTCCATTGGAGTGTATGTGTCGTCCATGTACTGGTATTGAGGAGAGTGCGGTAATTCCTCAAGAAATGTCCAACTATGCCGCTGACGAACCACCAATCAATGGACATTTTGCTAAATCTATTTAAATTATTGATCAATAAACAATGAAAGTGTTTAAATTTATTTCATTTTTTTACAGCTTAAAAAAATTATTCATCTGCCATGTTCGTATCTATAAAATATGTAATATTTTATTCAGTCATATAATGTTTTAATTGTTATATAATTATAATGATTTATACAATAATAACTTGTTTACTATACAATTATAAATAATAAATTATCTAAATTATAAATAAATAATTATTTTTCATTTCAACTGCATATTCATTTTTTAACTATGTTAATAAAACCATAAATAAAATGTTCTACCTATTATATATTATATGTATTAGTATATTAGATACTTAGGTAATTAACACTTTTTAATATATATTTTTAAATACATACAGGTACTATATCTTTACCAAAATTCTAAAAATAACCTAAATATATATTTTTTTTAGTAAAGGGCTCATCAATAAGAGCGGGTCGATGTTGAGATGGAATAAAACAAGCTGTGTGTGAGGTATTAACGAAATTATTATTTTGTTCGAAAGTTCTACGTATGCCAATTATGTTTGGAACATAATATCATTTAAATGTCCGCCACGGCTTCTCACAGTGGCACGAATCCGAGTAGTCCAATTTTCAATGACTCTGCCGTATAGATCCGGTTGAATTTGAGCGATGGCCAGGGTTATGTTCACTTTAAGGTCATCAGTCAATTTCGGCTTATTGGCATAAACCTGCGACTTCAGGAAACCCCACAAGAAAAAAATTAATGGGGTCAAATCACACGATTTTGGTTAGGTTTACGTCTCCTCGGCAAGAGATAACCATACCCTCAAATTTGTCGTTAGAATGTCTGTCGTGGCATTGGATATATGGCACGTAGCGCCATCCTGCTGAAACCACATGTCGTCTGCGTCCATATTGTTCATTTTGGGAAAAAAAAAATCGGTCATCAACGTTCTGTATTGCTCACCATTGACGGTGATGGCCTACCACCGTACAATTTAAGATACATAATTCGCTATAATGTTGAATTTGAGTTTCATGAAAAACATAACAAATTAATATGAATGGGATATTCGTTGATTGTCACAGTCAAATAATATTTTATGTGTCACAGAATAATATTACTGAAACATTAGAGGCACTGAAAAAAATAATGATATGTCATTTAACCAAATAGGTTTGTTAAAGAATAAATTAAAATAAAATAACAACGAGAATAGGTACTGTAGGTATGTAATACGTGCAAGTATATTTTGTTCTCATTAGGGATGTTTTTACCAATGTTCAATTAGTTAAATCACTAGGGTGATTTGTTAAATTTCAAAAGTATTATATAAACACAACAGAGTAATTTATTTAGCAGAATTTCAGAATCTACAATACTGTTCAATACTAAAAATAAAATGTTTACTAAAAGATATACCTGATCTATTTTTAGATTGGAAATTGTATCGAACTTTATAACCTTATAACCTAATAGTTTATAATGATAACCAAGGGTTGAATGGGTGCCTACCTATATATGTATTATTTTAAAATGTAAATAATTCCGTTTTATTACGGTACTGAAAGAAAATATCTAATACTTTTATATCAATAACTTAAACCATTGATTATAAATACTATTTATAATCAATGCTTAAACTAACTACACAATATTACATACTTTTAATGTTCTACATTTTATGTCATTTTTGTAAGTTAGGTATATTTTTTTTTATTTTGTAAATTGTAAAATACAATTTTTATGCAAAAAGTACAAAGAAAACGCAATTAATTTAATTTATTAATGTAGTAATTCAGTTGTAATAGTAAATTAAATATACATATTTTTTTGTATTCTGACAGTTGTATATTGATATTGTGCATCTAATTTTTATTTGCTCTGCACAGTCAAAACACTTGAAAAATAAACATTTATGTCCGCAAAGGATGCATGCGTGGGTTTTTATCATTAACAAGACATACATCGCAATTTTTTATTAAATATTATCTAGTATCCTTGCCATTCGTCTCTGTTCGATTTAGACAATATCATCATAGGCGGTATGATTTTCTTCAGCAGTTACAAAATCTGTTTTCTCTTAAACTAAAATAATTATAAATTAATATAAATGTATCTATATACAATTTTGTAATTTAGAATTAACTAGTATGAAAAGTAGTATATAATTTATTTCTATTGTAAACAAAATCTTACTAGAAAACTACTCAGCATTAATTTGTTCCTGTTCTAATCTATCTTGATATCTTGTTAGTTCTACAATTTTAATTTATTAGTGTTTATTCGATAATATCGATTTAATTCTAATATATTATGTATAATAAAGACAAACTTTGAACAGTATTTTGGCTATTGTTTGCGGGATAAACTTGTTGAATATGTGTTTGTTCTGAAATTTGATTTATTATTTAAATTATGTATTATAATTACATCATAGACTATAAATAATATGAATGGGGGGCTATAAAACAGCAAAACATGAAATTATCAGAATTAAGCATAAAAATATTTACACAAACAGTATTTCGGTCGAAAATAAAACAACTGAACGTATTTCAACAGAATCGCTCGAAACTCTACTAATTATCAACTTCTACATTTATTATCATTGTTTTAAACAGAAAATGTTGAATTAGAAAACTTTAAAGTAAGAACGTCAATATTTTGAGCAAAAAATTAAAAAATTAGAAAGAACGTGCAAATTGTGAGTTATAATTCTGACACAATTTTGAACAAACAAAAAATAATAAAACGACATTTTGAATATTTTCTATGATAAAAATATATATTAATTAATTAAGTTTAAAATTATTGTTATTTTTAATTTCAACCATTTGTAAGCATTTAAATTATTCAAGTGTAAACATCCACTTACACAGGTTGGATTTATTATCAAAACTAAACCGATTAACTTCATTGATTAAATATTTAAAAAACATAGAAGTGAGTTACTTAGAGCATTTCTGGTTAACTTAATTTTTAAATTTTATTTTATATTATTATATTTTTATTATTTATTTCTTATCACACGTTATCGTTTTTCAGAAGATCTGATCTAATCTCGCTTAAATACGATTCGGCCGAAATATTTTTATTTGGCAGTACATATTTGTTTTTGGATTATTATCATTCCACAGATCTTTATCATTTTTGGACAACTGCAGGCCATAGAGTATGACTTACTGTATGTTGCAGGCTCATGGCCCAACCATTGCTAGAGATAAAACCGTATTAAACAAATAAGCGTATAAAAACAAATTTTAGATTCTGCATTATGACGGTCACGGCATTATAGATGACTATATGATATCTATATGGCCGCGATTACGGTCCTAGAATATTGTGCATAAATGCATAAAGCCGGTCTCACACGACTCGTGTACTTTACGAGCGTATACTTGGCAAGTGTAATTGCTAAGTTTATACAATGTACGATGTTTGTAATTATGTTGCTCCCACACGACTCGTATGCTCACCGATAATTTGTCAATCGTATATACTTTGCTCGTCATCGCCAATGCTCCTACACGATTCGTAATTGCCTAATATATTTTGTTCGAAATAATGAAATACGAAATTTGCCTCAGTCCACAATGGACAATGACGAAGAAAAGACTGCAAATGTATGACTCCTTTTCAAATAACGACAAAAATTCCAATGTTTTATCATTGGACCACTCCATTTCGATGAAATTTTAGTAATACAATTCACAAATAGGCATATATATTCAAATAGTTTAAAGATTATTAAAAAAAATTCTAGGTTACATGTTGTTCCGATTTATTATCAATTGATACTGATTATTTTACACCAGAGTAGACGAAGAAGACGAATCGGAGTCGAACACTTTGTCATCGGCAGAAGAGGATACGAACCAATCCGACTACGTGGAGGAAGAAGAACCAGTTCGGTTGGTGCCAGCCGCGGGACGCACACTCCACCGGGCGGTGGCCGCGGTCACAGCGGGCTCGCCGACTGTTCACCCGCGAAAACGTCAGCGGCGCAAGGGCGGTGCCGAGCCAGTATTTTTTTTTTTTTATGATAAGGTAATAAAGAAACGTTTATTTACAACATAAAGACATAATACAAGTGATCGCCAGCAGACGGCTTTTGACGGAGGAAAGGAGAGCACGCAACAATTAAAACAACATTAGTTAAGAAAAACAATTATACATAATAATTATTCGGAGTCGCAAACAATGCTTCGCGTACAGGGTCGGTGCGGAGAGAGAGCGAAGCGGTGGTGACGTCGAGACGAGCGGAGCTGTGGACGATGACCGCTGAACGCCGACGGCAAGGGGCGTGGCTGACGTCTGCCTCGAGCGACGCGCAGCGGGAAGAAGAAATGAGGCGCGAAACCCGCCACACCAGTATAGATTCGATAATGGAAATCGGTGTATCCCCACCATTGTCCAAAATTAACTATGATAATACTATCAATTAAATATAATCAATTATTTAAATTATATAAATTAAATTAATGTATTACCTATACTATACTTCCCATTTCCCACTGATAATAACTTGATAAAAATTAATTTGAATAGGTATTAACTGTTATCAATTAAATTATTGTTATTATCATTTATCTGTTCGTTTAATATTTCGAGAGGAAAATAAGAGGGGATGAAACCGGTGTAAATAGTTTGCCCCATATGCATGTTTTGATCTAGAAAAATTAAACCGGTGTCGTTAATTTTAACACTGATTATTCTTTATTCTATAGTTACTCCTTAAAATGTTTCAAATTCACATTAGTTTGATTTTTAAAATAAATTTACACCGGTTTATACCAACAAATGTTGATTATCTATTATAAAACCGTTCAAATCGTAGATATCAAACAAAAATATAAGCTATGATTCAAAATTTCAAATCGTTTCAATCTTAAATTTATTGTTTCACCCAATTTTATATTTTATAATTATTTTTCATGGTGTTCATCAATTAAAATTAAAAACAAATAGCATATATTATAACTTTAAAATATGGACGATAAATACTACATGACAATATTGTCTCAGACGTTTTCTCCATGTGGTAACTATTTGATTACTGGTAATAATTATGGAATATTAACAGTATACAAGTAAGTTAAAAGTTTCAATAATGTAATAGTTATCTAATTGTGTTTATAAGTTATGTCTTATGCAATTAGTTTGAAGAATGAATTACACTCTGGGATTGATGATAACGATGAAAATGTATCAGCAGGTCAATCATATCGATTTGAGATGATACAAAAAATGCAAATAAACAGTATGGAATCTAATGAACATTTTTTAATTATTGGTGGTGTTGGTGTTATTGTTGGTGTCGATTGGGACACAGTCATTAACAATAATTTTAGTGAAAACAGAAAAATTGGACCGCTTAAAATCAGTTGGAATATAAGCATTCCACCACCCAAGTAAAGTTACATTTTTAATTATGTTTATAATAAATTTAATTATTTGCATAATTTTAGAGATTCAATGTTATCCATTGATGTAAATTGTTTAGTAATAAACAAAGAAGATAATATTTTATATGCAGGCTGTGGTGATAATGCTGTTTATGCAATTAATATAGAATATGGTGAAGTAATTCACAAATTTGAAGAGCATAGAGATTTTATTCATTCTATTGATAAACTGTAATACTACTTTAATTATTAATGTAGTATGAAGCATTAACTTACTAAAAATGATATTCTTGTAGAGATGAGACATTAGCCTCTGCAAGTGAAGATGGATCTGTAATATTTTGGGATATTCGTTCTAAAAAATATACTTTAAAACTCATTCCTAGCAATAATTCAGCTATTAAACGACCAGACCTTGGAAATTGGATTGGTTCTGTTACTATCACTAAGGATTGGATGGTAAAATAGTAAACAAATTATTTATTTCAATTTAATTTATAGCTGTTGTTCAATATTCTATTATACAAGTGATTCTCAAATTTTTGTAGGACCGCGACCGAAATTTCCTTCCAATAATCTACTGTGACCCCCATAGTTTTACATATATGGAATAAAAAATTAGTTTCAAAAAACAAAATTATTTTTATTACTTATTTACTACATAATAATAATAATATAATATTTAATTAATAATGAGGTGGATGTGATGAATGTTCTTGTTTTTTGCTATTGTTGATAACAGCACTAATGTCGAAGTCAATCTTAGCTTTTTTCAAATGCAAGGAGTTCGATAATTGGAACTTGTTTTGGTGTTTGTTTTTGATGCCCATCATTGCCAAAAATCCAACTTCGCCTAAGTATGAAGATGAGAAAGGTAGTAATACCTTTAAAGCTTCAATTGAAAGAGTTAGACATTTCTGTTGAGCTGACAGCCAAAACTCAATCAAATTATTATGGCTAAATTTAAGTTTTAATGATGTACGTATCTTCAGAAACATCAATGAGTTCTTCGTCGGATTTTGTTGATATCCCTGTTAATATAGCGTCCTGAAATGTATTCACAATTCAATTATTTTGTTGACATTTTTCCATTTCTTCAAGGAAGTAAAAGTTGAAGTTGTCTCTCAACAAAATTAAATACAAAGTGATTTAGGTATTTATGTCATCAGCAACTTTTATATTATTTTCGGTTATGAAAGTTTGAAATGTTTCAAAACAATCATTATTTTGCTTTGCGATATTTGTATGCCATAAAGTTAGTTTTTTTATAAAAACCTTTAATTTTTTCATGAACCGCAAATATATCGGCTCCTTCTGTTCCTTGTAAATATAAATTTAATTTGTTCAGTTTCGAAAATATGTTAGCTAAATACGAGAGCTTCTAAATAAATTCTTTATTGTGCAACGATTTTGGCAAATCAGTTTTTTCTTTTAGAAACAGTGCAACATCTTCGCGGAGTTCCAGAAGTCTTGTTAATACTTTTTTCTTTACAGACAACTGGTTGCAAAGCGCCAACTTTATCATCATCTTTTATCGAAATATTTTTGAGATAACAATGTACCAAAAATACATTTTTGGTAATAATATCATAATAATTTCGACAGTATAATAAATAATTATAGGACGATTGTAGTAAATAATGATAAAATTTTAAATCTGTCGCTACATCGGGATTTATATTACTTTATTCTTCTATAGTTCGATAATTTAAACAGTTTCAAAATACATAAATTTCTTACAATCTGTATAATTAAAAAAACATCTTACTACCCCCCAAAAATTGACTCACAGTTTGAGAAACTCTATATTATACTATTAATCATAAAAACAATATATAATGTATGTACTTACTTCTATAGTTTTGTATTCATATTCTTCCACTAATATTTTAAAAAAAAATTTAATAATTGAAGTTATTGGAATACTTAAAATGATAAAATAATTTTTTAAGTAAGTAATTAGTTCAGTCAACGAAGCACATAGAAATATATTATCAATATATATAATAAGTAATATATTAATGTATTATTAGTTTTGAAGCTTTGCAAAGATATTGGTTATATTTTCCTGATTGACCAAAAAACCTCTCTGTAGTCCGAAAGTGTTTTCCATTTTAGTTTTTATGTGGGATTTTAGAGTTTTTCAATTATCATTATAAATATTATATTTGTAGCAAAATGAGTTCTACTCAAAATTATAGATGATATAATTTCAAAAAATATGATTCTATACTTTTGTCTGTAAGCTGTATAATAATAAAAGTAAATCTGACTATGTTTTATAATATTGAATAGTGTGCACTATAATAGCTGTATAGGTTACACGCTGCAGAACGTATTATTTATCTAAAAATTACATATTACATAACTATATATATATATATTTTTTTTGTCAACCCTAAGGTTGTTCTACAACTCCCATTCTCTATTCTAATCGATTACTCGCCTTTTCCTTGATTTCTCTAAGCGTTTTACTCTCGCATCACTTTTTAATTGTCCTATATAAGAGTTTCGAAGGTGTCCTACTGTTTTCTCTCCCTTTATCATACCCTTTATGATTATATTATGTAGTTCTTCTGGATGTCTCTGGGTATGTCCAATCATTTTCCATCATCATGTTCTAATCATATCTATGAATATCCATTTTTCTTTTACAGTTCTTAGTACTTCATTTATTTTGCCATACCATCCAACTTATCCCTTCCATACGCCTCTAGCACCATATTTCAAAAGCTTCCAATTTTTCTTTTTAGCATTGTTTATGACCCAAGTCTCACTTCCATATGCAGCAACACACTCCATACATATGTTTTAATGAGCCTCTTCTTGATATCGAGCTGCAAATTTTTCGACGTGAATAGTTTGTATTTCTTCCTGAATGCAATTTTTGCCAACATAAAGTTGGTATAAAACACTATTTGATTACTCTTGTGCTCTTACCATCAGATGTTATTTTGTTCTCCAGATACACCATTTCCTCTACCTACTTTAATTCTTTACTATATATGTATCCCTCGCCATTTATTTTTAGGTTTTTGGCACATACTAAAATCTTCATTTTTTTGCTATTTATTTTAATTTCTGATATTCTGAGCATTTCAGTCATTTCATCTACTGCATGCTATATGTTACCTTCATTCTGCTATCATCACGATATTATCTGCAAATCTTATTAAAACATTTTGCCCTCCAATTTTTATTCCAATATTTTTCCATCGGTGGAAAATTTATTTTCACTGAATCCTTATACATACGCATGTAATCGACAACTGATAGACAGTTTAGATTTTGGCATCTTTCACAACACTATTCGAATTAAACGAACATTAACATATGACTGAAGACTATGATTACCTACTAATCTGACACCAATATTAGTTTTGCATTAGTTATTTGTTGTTATCGCGTATCGCAATGTTATCAAGGTTATTTATGGTCAGATTACTTTTTTATTGTGGATATTATTGATGTTTTTGAAACTTTGTGAATTATGTATATGTACGACCAGTTGGTCTTCACAAATATAACCTAAAATGGAAAAATTTCAAAAAATGCTTTAAAAACCAAAAACGTTTCATTTTAAATTCTCTGATGTATGAATCGAATTATGTACTTGGAAAGCATTGCTCTATAACACCCACTAAAAAATGTATTTTGCATTAAAGTCTGTTCCCTATTGATGATTGTGCCTACCCAGCAATTTGTTAACACCTCCTCCCCCCTGTTTGGGAAACACTGGTATACATAATTTAATGTTGAATATAGTTCTATTTGTTATTAAATAACAAATGATTTTAAAGAATTATTATTTTTAATTTGCATTTAATAAAATATTCATGTTTTTTCAACATTTTAAGAATAGATACAAAATTTAAACTTTCATTTCTACATTTTTGTGAAGGATGGCTCGGTAGTTCGTCTTCAATGGAATTTAATTTTTCATCTGAATCACATGTATAAAATAGTATAAAAGACTTTAATATGTTTTGTGTGCAACAGAAAACTTTAATACAAGTTTAAAATATTTTGGATCTGATGATATGTCTAGTCTCAAAACCTCTTTTGTAGGAGGCTAGCCCACAAAATTAAATTTTAGATTCGTTAGTGACCTTTATTTACGTTTCTGGTGCACCATATAATTTGATTGTATATTTGTCATCGGCTTTAAAATTATCTTCTGGTAAGGAGTATGGACTATTCAAAGACACCAATTACTTTTTAAAGGTCTAGGTACTTTTGAAGAAACTTAAAATGATTAATTTTCTGATATTAAAAAAGCATAAAATTATCACATTCGCTGATAGCATGTACAAATAAAATTTATATTTCCATATAGTCTAGTTTTTGAATATCTTGAATTGAAGACATTTTTTTGTTAGCTTTCCCTATTCTTGGTTTCAAATATATGATCTGATTTTTTCTGGAGTTAATAATATTTCCTGTATATTGATGTCTTGGTCAATTTATAACAATCACGGTTTGATTAATGATCATTAGAATAGTATCATTTACAATTAATGTGTCTGCATCATCTACAAATCAAATGTTTTTTCATCTGTCATTTATATTTGTATATTGCCTAAATTATTTTAATACAAATGACACAGTTTTAAATATGGATAGTGTATGTTAGCATGGGAAAATGGTATCATTTTTTCAGACATTGTATATTCTTTCTTTAAAGATATCTTAAAATATTGTTTCTATAATTTAGAAGTAGCACCATTGTCTTTGTGATTATTCAGTTAATTTTTAAACTTTTTACTTATTTCTATTACCTACTACATTTTAATTCCAGATTTGGTCCAATTTAATTGGATTAAAACATGGAAGTATATCATTAAGTTGACTACACTTCTTATCTAATAAAAAAAACTAATAACAAACAGGTTATAATATATTATAATAATATAGGTATATAAATGTCATTTTTAAGTTCTACATATATTTGTGCAATGGGTATTATATAGCTATTATTGTAAGCGTTACTCAATATTATGAAACTCAGTTGGACTTACTTGATTTATTATTCAATTCACAGAAAAAGTATAGAATTTTATTTATTTAAATTGTGTAAACTATATTTTTGTATAGAATAAATTTTGCTACAAACAATGTTTTTAATGATAATTAAAAACTCTAAAATCACACATCGAAACTAAGGTGGCAGATACTTCTGGATCTCGAATGGATGGCAAATTTTTTTTGGTCAATCAGATCATAAATGTTTCTGCCAAGTTTCACAACTTTTTCAATTTATTTCATTATAAAAACATTAATTAATTCTAGACTAAAAGTTAAATACTTATTTGATTAAATTGTTTTAATTATTTAAAATATATCACATTCATATCTAAAATGTATAGGTATCCATTGAACAATTAAACTATTTTTAAAATTAATGAAGTATTTCAGAATTGATATACAACGATGTTCTTAGAAAATTGTAAATTTTAAAATTACAAATTTAACAGTAGGTAGAATATTGTACTACAGCTTAATGTTTTATTTTACTATTAGTTATGTGGCGGTGGATCAAAATTGTCATTATGGAATCGATCAATGGCTGCTCCAATGACAGTATATAATTCTGTGGAAGATTCTGGAATACACGTTACTAAACTAATGGATGAAACATTATATGCTGGTGGATGTTCAAAGTACTTTTATCAATTATCATTTACTGATGAAATTCTGTGTAAAATTAAAACTAGTCCAGTTTCAGTTTATACTTGTATTAATCAAGAAAATCCATTCAAAGTAAGTTTATATTATGCAATATTTGTATTTATCATTATTCCATTAGGATAAATTAATTAAAAATATGATATGTTTACAATAAACTATTAGAAAATAAAAAAGTTTAATTATTAAATAAACATTTTATTTTTAATTTTAATATTTATAAAATATAAAATAATGCATTTAAGTGGTTACACTTAATATTTTGAAATTACTCTTTTCAAAAAAAAAAAAAAATGTTTACAACATACATAAACAATTCTAAAATGTTACATTAACATTATTTTTACTAGTAAAACAACTATTACTTTTGATTTGCAAATGACAATTGACAACGTACATTAAAAATTTAATAAATAGATAAATACATTTTGGTATTAACATTTTTAAATTCCATCAACCCGTTCACTAGATATTTCACATTTAAATTTGGGTAGGGGGAGAGTAGTAGTGGAGCACTATTCAAATGCTATATCCCTTACCACCACAAAAATGATGTACGAACAGCAACCATAGTATCTATAATCATGGGATTAAGATATACAGGACTGGACATTGTTAACATAGGCAGAAGAACAAACATATAATTAGTCTTTGTATAGCTTCAAAATATTTTTGTCGTTGCTGGTTATAAGTATTCTGTATGTTTTGAAAACAAAATATTTATTTATTATTATATATTATTATACCTTATAAAACTAAAGTAATTAAAAATATTTGGTACATAATTTATGTACAAAGATATTTGTTTCTAATTATTATTCTCAACTAATACTAAAAAGCATAAATATATTTTAAATTACTTATAATCTTATAATTAAATTAAAGTATATGTTTATTCTTTTAAATGTTATACTATTTTTTTACCTAACACATATTATATTTAATGAAAATGAACATCAAAATAACTGTAAGTGTTTCATTTAAAACAGTTATTTATAATTTATTTTTATTAAAATTCTTAAGTACAAACTTATAATATTAAAAAATATATACATTTGTAAAGTTGTACGCTATAATAAAAACAAAATACTTAATATTTTTAAATAGTTAATATACTGCATAGATATTACAATACTTATGTTTATAATTTTTTATTGCATAACTTAATTTTATGATCAATATATGTAATTTTGTTTCAGGTAACATGTCTTGCAGGTTCAAGTCATAAAATAGATGTTTGTACTAAACTAAATTATAAAATGACTACACTTGGAATCTAGGCTATATACTGGACATTTCATTTTTAATATGGAATTGCAATTCGAGAAAAAGATATCTAATTATATTAGAATTTTTTTTTTTTTTATATATATCATATTAGTGACATTTACATATTGAATTGTTTATTTCGCTGTATTTTCAATATAATAATGCAATAATATAAATTAACTATAATAGCTATTGTAAACAGACTAAGTATATCATAATTCATCAATACATTTTTTTTTATTACACAATACATTTTATAATATTGTATTCATTTATATTATATTAATTGCAATTTCAAATGAATTTTTGATACCTTTTTGTACTTTTTTATTTGTGTAATTCATAACTTATTACCTATCTGTATAATTTTTATAAAATTTAATATAATTTCACATAACAAATGAATATGTGTAATGTATATATTATTAGGGTGTCTGTTATTTTGGACTCAAATTTATTATTTAACATATTGTTCAGTTATTTATATTGAATAAAAATACCATTCAAATTGTAAAACCATATATCAATATTAACTGATTCTTAGATTTTATATACGGTAGGTAGTTATTGTTATACTTGCTATAAAGTAATTTTTTCTTCCAGAAAATACTTTCTAAATTTTTGACTAATGGTAATTTATAGTTCAAACAAAAATTCCCAATAAATTTTAACAAAAATGTCTTGCGTTGTTTTTATTTTTTAAACAATGGTTAATAAAATTATCAAATTTTTTAATGTTACAGCAATTGCTTTAAAGATGCATTTTTTTTTTATTACAGTGGTTTATTATTGTTTTTATAGTTGTTTGATGTACAATAAATATCCTGTATCTTACTTGATGAATTTCTTATCCACACAAGTAACCTGGCAATGGGACAAAGTCTTTTTTTTTCGAAATTTGTTTATTTCTCAAGGTAAATCATATTTTGAAATGAATGAGTCAGTAATTTGTTTTGTAGCCACACATCTTAAAAAACTGATTTACTCAATAACTATTAACCAATTAATTTTAAAAACTAATGAAAGGTATAAATATAAATAAACAATACACGCTGTAGATATGATACAAAATTCATATATTTTAGATGATTCTAGAGAATAAAGTTCCCAATTTTTCGTAAATTGCAGTTAAGCTATTATTCAAGTTTTTAAATTTATTTTTTGAAACTTAGGTATATCAATATATTAAAAAGATTGATATATTTCACATGATGGGAAGGCTACTGTTGTAGGTGAGAAGTCCCTCTAGAGAGGAATTTAATCTGTATCTGTATGCAACATTGCAACATTTAACCATTGCTAACAAAAAACGATTCATATATGTTATACATGTTTTGAACGGCAGTAAATATTACTATATTTACAATTTTCATTAAAATTCAAGAAAAAAAAAATTATAATACACCCAAATTCACTTTACTCAGAATTTAAAATGATGGCGCCACTAATAATAAGTACCAATTTTTGTTTACTCTATCATTTTTAAAACATTGATTGACTTAGGTTTACAAAAAAAAAAATGAAATTGTACCCAATTTTGTATTGTTTAATGGGTAATCATGCATAATACTATATATAGGTAATAAACTAATAACTTATGGCATTGATTATTATGGACCATTATATTAAATTTATTTATATTAATTTACAAAATACGCGAATGGTCGTAGGAAATCTGGTCTGTTTTATTATCCAACTAATACTCCTACTCTCATCCCTTCCAAGGATACTCACCAATCTGGGTATCTGTACAGCAGATATAGTGAGTTAGGTAAACAATCCATTCTAAGTACCCTACTACATATTACATCCGTGGACGTACGATACGTTCCTCACGATGGCCGCGGCCGTCGTCAGGAAATTCCACCGCGCGCCGTTGTGTACCCCTTGGTACGGTGTCCCAATGAACGCTGCCACTGCTGAAGACGACGTGGTGGCCGACGCTTCAGCTTCCGGATCAGCCACCGGCATGAACACACGGTGCTCTTGGTGGCTGTGATGAGGTTCTTCGGCGAGCAGCCTGTGCTGTTGCTGCTGCTGTTTACTATGCTGTCCGTAGTCTGTGGACGCGTCCGATTGTGGTTCCACAGATTGTTGTCGCAATTGATCGAGTCGCAACTGATTTTGACGTTTCCACTTTGTCCTAAAACGTAAACGGTGGTGTTATTTATTAATTTATTGCAATTCAAACACCAAAAAAAAGTAATCAATACCTACGTACCTAATATTCATAATATAGATACCAAATAAATAAATAATTTTTAAGGCATAGGTATTGGTATTTAGGTAATTGGTCATTTAGACTATTTACAAATGATAACCAAAGAGACGGACATATTTTGCACGATGGATTGGTCATTGTTGTATATGAGAAATTGGGAAAGTAGCTGATATAAAGGAGAATTGAATGTATATCTTTTCGCAACTATTAATCATTGCTAAAAAAAAAAACGATTCTGAGCGGAATTCCATTATACAGGTTTTGAAATTTGATTTTATGAATTTGATCATGATTTAAGTCAAAATTTAAAATTCTAATTTATAAAAAACATTATATTATTATAAAAACCAAATTCTACATTATATTATAAAATTATAAAGAACCAACTACAGCCAATATGCAACAAAGTTTATTGTCATGTTTTGAGGATGAATTCTAAGGAAAAAGTTCTTTACAGACCGAAAAAAAAGCTATCCTAGGATAATAGAAATAAGTGCAGCCACTGTTATAGGCAGGGGCAAATTAACGAATAGGTCAAGCAGGCCTGGGCCTAAGGGTGTCATAATTTTAAGTTGTATAAGGAGCGCAAATATTTGTCTTCTGCCATTAAAAAAAAAAATGTAAACCAATGTTAGTTGAGTTATATCTTCATAGATGGTGTTTGAAGTCTGCGGCTGCCGACGGCTTATATTATGTAGGAATAGGACACGGACACTGTAAATAATTATTCTTATCGGTTTTATCTTATCATGTTCTATGATTCTATGAGGTCTACCACAATATCAAATTGATTAAATGCATTATTTCTATTAATTAAATATAGAAAACGAACTTCTTCAATGCTTGAATTATTCTTATATAGTTACTGAATTCACTTATTCACCAGAAAATCCAAAAAAAAAAATAAATTTTATCAAGTTATCTAGATGGTACTTTAAATATGTAATTTTTTTGATTTTTGACGTTATTTTTTAAATAAAAGCACTTCAGTGGAAAAAACGTAGGAAATCGTACAATTTCATGACTCAATTATTTTATGAAAATACGGACGACGTTTTCTACCAGAAGAAATGATTTAATCAAAAAATCACAAAACACCTTTTTGATTTACTTTCTTACGGTATCGTAGTTAAAACTTTTGAGCCATTTGAGCATTTAAGGAATTTTAATTTTTGGGAGTTTTTTGCTGTAATACAGTTGTAAATACACGTAAAGACTCGAAGTTTGATAATAATACTTATATTGGACTTACTTGGATAGACTTACTTAGACTTACTTACAGAAAAAAATTATTTAATCGAAAAATCACAAGACACATTTTTGATTTATTTTCTGTAATTTAACTATAAATACATGTTGAGACTTGAAACTTGTCAGTAATACTTATATTGGACTTGCCCAGACGTGGTAAAATTTCCAAAATTACCAGACTTTTTTTTTTTTTAATAAGCGTTTTGAAATCAAATTTAAACAAAAGTCGCAAAAATTATGAATAACCGAACTGAGTTCAGAATCGTCTTTCGTCAAGCAATGGTTTATTGTTGCTTACACATATAAATGAAATGACCTTAAATATCTTACCTTCCCAATTTCTCATCTACAACAGTGGCCGCTCCCATTCCCAGTATCAGCATCTTTTATATTAAATTTATTTTAGATTCTATGTGTAACGAAGAATGTATTAGTTTTACCAAGATGTTTATATTTTTATATTGTGTACAAAACTTCTACCAGAAATCTTACTCAGATATATACGTACGAACTCATTTCTGAAAGGTTATTGAATTATTCAGATGGTACTTTTGGGAGGTCATTTTTTTGATTTTTTAAGTGGTTTTCATAATATCTGGGAAAAACCAGAATGAAATTTAAGAAAATCGAGAAATTCATGAAAATAATAATAATGCTTTTATTATTTTTACTTTTTGTTATTTGTTGTAATTTAATTGAAAATATTCGTAGAGACTTGACATTAAAAAAAAATTATATTTGCCTTTTCTAGACGTGGTCAAATTTTCAAAAAAATTAAGCCATTTTTGAGCTATTTATTGATATTTTAATTTTACGAGTTTTGTACGTAGTTTTTATTCGGGAGGTACTTAGTGTTAAAAATGTTATAATTAAGAGAAATGCTTGAAAATTTAACAGAAGGTTCATTAAGAGTCTTACTTTGTGGTCAAAACAAAAATTTGAGTTTAATGTAGTATTTTTTTTTTCTAAAGAAATTTGAATAACAAATTTTGACGAAAAATTATGTAGAACAAATCTAATTTATTTAATTTTTTTGAACATGTAAACCTATTGCTGACTTAATAACGGTGGTGAAGTCAGAATTGAAAGGACTGACTTAGTTTCGAAATTATAGCTTTTTGAAGTTCTGATATTATGCGAGTATAGGTATGTTTGTCGTAGCCAAATGTTCTTGGAGTTCACGAGTTCAAACCCGTGTTCCGTAAAAAAATTGTTTGCACTTATTTTTTCAGAGAAAAAAGAAATGCATTTTAGGAGATCTAGCTATCGCTAGCTCGGACTATTTTAATTGACAAACATCCCTCGATTAGTTGTGCAGACTTTTCGTTGGCAATGGTTTATCGTATATACAGATATAAATGGAATAACTTTATGTATATTACTTTCCTGGCTTCCCATCTACATTATTGGTATCTGATCTTTTTTTATTTATTTCATCTTTTCCACCAATGTAACCCAAAAATGCAATGTTTAAGTGAAAATCACTATTTAGGTAGAAAACAGATTTTTATTACCTACCACGCCTACATGTTTACAATGTGCGGTGTATATTTTGACTATTTAAATAGTGATACAGCATTTAATATACGTTTTTGATTATTGTCAACCTATTAATTGTCTAAGACGTATTATACATTTAAACTTCTTCTAAGACAAGGCCAATTTATTGGTGAATACCGTGTACAGACAAAGTATAGGATTCTGCTTCTTCTTTATATAATAATATAAACCTAGATATTATCTAGGATATTAGAGGCGTTCTCAGGATTTTTTATTGGGGGGATATGGAAATGTATTAAAAAGTGTGCCATGGGGCAAAGCCCCCACACCCCTCTTCATATATAAAAACAATATACAGTAAATTATAGTATATTATATTTTTGATTAAATTATTGAATTTACAAATTTACAATTACTCTTGATTTTTAAGCCATTTCATCAAGATCATCTTCGGGATTAATTGGGACTTCTTTATGGACGGCCAACAATGTTAATCCATTAAGAAGTTTCTAAAAATCACTTTCTATATTTTTCTCAAAAAAGATAGATAATAACAACAAAACCATCCATTTATCCAACAAATCCATTTATCTAAAATATTCTAAATTACTTAATGTATTATGAAATTACTTTCATTATAATTACTATTACCAAAATTATTTATAAAAATATAAACAAAGTTGTTTATTTCACTTATTATTACTACAAAATTATCATTGAAAAAATGTGATGAACATTAACTTAAAAAAATAATTAGAATTAAAATCTAAGAATATCTTAATTATTTGTTTATTTTTATTTTTGAGCTGCACTTGAAACTTGACATCTTTTCTTTTGTACCATCTGTCTATATTTGCATAAGAATTTCTTGATGCCAAATGTAAAACAGATTATAATTTGACATTTGAAATTTGATTGCCACTTTTCGATTTGTTTAATTTCATGAGAGAAAATAATTGTTCACATACATAAGAGCTAACGAACATGGATAAAATGTTAGAAAAGTTTTTCTTTAATTTTGGATAACTGTTTCCAAGATATTTAAAAATTTCTGGAACTCCAACAGCTTCAAATTTTGATTTTAAAACAGAATTACATTGCAAACCAATTAATTCGAGTTGTAAATCTTCCCTCGCATGCTCTGCATTTATAGAAAATGGCTCACTAAAAAGTAGAAAATCATCTCTATACTTTTGAAAATCTGTAAATCTATTCATAAATTCATTTTTTAGTAATAAAATGTGTGAAATGTATTTTTTACTATCATTACTATCTGTGGATAACTGTTTTAATGTAGGAAAGTGTACCAAGTTATTTAATGACAATTGAGTTTCCCATAATCGAAGTTTCATGGTAAATTAATTAATTGAGTCGTACATATTTGTGATGACTGTTTTTTCCTTGTAATTGTAGGTTGAGAATATTTAAATGTGTAGTAATTTATCAACAAATTTATCGTAAATTTTACCATGATTTACGTTATAATGTCTCTTAATGTTGTACTCCTTCAAGACAGATACACTTTGTTTACAGATCAAACATATTGGAAGAGAATTAGAATTAGTAAAAAAGTATGCATGGCCCCATTTTTCTTGGTCAATTTTACGTTTCATCGGTTTGATATGAGACATTTAAACGAACAAATTACGCATATAAACTTAAATTTAAAATTACACTTGAATAGCAACTGGTTACTAATACGAACAAAACAACACTGGTCACAGTCAAACTGTTACCCACTATTACTGCACTTACGCCGAAAAACAAATTATATTTATCTTAGTAGATAATTTAATTAATAGTAGATAATTAATTATTTAGTAATTTAATTTAATAATTAGTAGATATTAGATTTACCGCATTTCAAATACTTTATCGAGTATAATGGGATTTATGAACGATTAATGTAAAAATAAAACATTATGGACAATGGGATTTATGAACGATTAATGTAAAAATAAAACATTATGGACGTCAGATAATATTCTATGTATTTAGTCAGATAATAATAAAATTAACGTTTTTCCAATTTTTTCGTATATTTTTGTTCAAAATGTATTTTTATTGCGGGCCACATGGAAAGGGTACGCGGGCCACATTTGGCCCGCGGGCCGTATTTTTGAGACCACTAACCTAAAATAAAGGCCATAGGGGGATCCATTCTCTATATCCCCCCCGTGAGAATACCCATTCTAGATATAGATATAGACAGTGGTGCTGAACCATTTTAAGAAGGTGGGCCGATAAAAAGATTTGTTAACCACCACCCTCGATTTCAAAACACCCATACAACACTGTTAATTAATATTCCATACGTACCAATGCGATAAAAATATGGCTCAGATACCCATCATGGATCCACTACCACCCACCCATTAAAAGAAGGATGGCGACCGCCACCCATGGACTGTTGGTTTCGGTGCCACTGGATATAGATAGAATAGATAAAATATTAAATATACTGTAAATAACCTACAAACCTTCGATTCTGATACCACGTTTTGACTTGTGTTTCGGATAAGTTCAATGCTTCGGCCACATCACTGCGGTCGGCCACAGACAGATACTTTTGGGAACGGAATTTGCGCTCGAGGTAGGCTAATTGTGCATGCGTGAATGCCGTTCTCCTGCGTCGTACCTTCCGGCCACACGCCTTGCTAGCCAACATATCTTGGTGCTGCTGATAATGATGGTGATGCTGATGGTGCTTTTGCACCAATAACGGGAGCGCTGCGAAATTACTGACTGCCACCAACGTACGGTCATCCATATCAGGGGTACATTCGTCGCTGGACACATCTTTAAAAAGGTAAATACACAATTAATTAATTTCCAGATACTTTTGAATAATATATGCACTGTAGGTGCCGTTAAGGAGACTCAATGATCCAAGTACATGATAAAATAACTTTTTGTTGCATTCTAATTATTACAGATATATGTCATTTTTTAATTTCCACTCTAGACCTCTTAATAATCTAGTAAAATCAAAAAAAGACATAAAATGAAAAATGACAAATTTGAGCGGGAAATTTTACGGAAATAATAATGGTTTCATTATTTACAATTTTTTTTTTTATTGTAATATTCAATTATAAAAAAAACTTCTATTTACTTATCTAGGCGTGCTAAAATTTAAAAAAAAAATTGCAATTTTCGAGCTATTTATAGGCATTTTATGTTTCCGTATTTTTTACGTGGTGTTTATTTAGTAGATATTATGTAGACATAATTGTTTGACCAAACAGAAATGTATGCAAATTTAACAGATTTATATTAAGTTGCACATAGTCGTCAAAAAATAAATGTAAACAAGTGTAATGAATTATTATTATATTTTATATAGATAAATTAATCTATATGAATCTATATGAAAATCGTAAATATTACAGCCTTATATATAATGTATAAACAAACTTCGCTTAGAATTGTTTTTCGTTAGTAATGGTTTACCGCAGCTTACAGTTACAAATTGAATACCTTTATGCACCTTACTTTTCCAACTTAATATAAAGATATATGTGTATTAAATAGGTCATTTTTTGATTTTCCGAAGGGTTTTTGAAATAATTGGGAAAAACCTAAAAGAAAATTATAGATAAAACGGCAAATATTTACGGCACGCCCTGAAGTTACCGATTTTGAAAAATCGTTTCAAAAACAAAATTTTACTATCAAAATTAAATTTAATGTATGTCCCTGCTTTCACCTATGATCTTAATTTTATCTTAGTTAACACTCACATCGCGTTAACCAAACTAAATTAATGCCAATCGATGCAACTCTCGTCTCACCCTTAATCCTCGGCTTACCACTAATCACATTAATTATTGCATAATATATTATCTTCTACCCTTGGTCAGCGGTTTTCTTTGTTTGTGATAACAAATACATTTATTAATTTATTTATTTTGTAACTACGGATATGTTCAGTATACAGGAAAAGCATCTAAGTCCATTTTTAGATTCAGAGCGTATAGTTAGGGTTCTATTAGTTTTAATATGATGTGTTTTTTTTTTATTTTTTGTATCTGTGGCCAACTCATCTACCACAAATATTTCTCCAATAGAACAATAGACTTTCTTTTGTTGCATTTTTAATCTAGTTTGTGAATAAGAAAGTTTTTTTGATTTTCTTTGTAGTATTTTTAATAATTGAGCAAAACTGTAAAATACGTAGAAGAACAGGAAAATGTACGAAAATCATTTTTTTATTATTTTATATTTTATTTATTTTAATTCAGTTTAGAATATTCGTAGAGATCTGACATTTTGACAGACAGCTTATATTTGTCTTTTTAGATGTGGGAAAAATTTAAAAACATTAGAGTTATTATTACATAATTTAATTTTGCCAGTTTTTACGTAATTTTTGTTTGTAGGTAGCTACTCTGTGGATGAAATTTTCCGACTAAATATAAATGCTTGAAAATTTGACAGGAAGTTCATTATAAGTCATACTTTGTGGCCAAAACAAATTTGAGTGTAATGTATAAGAATTTTAGTATCAAATGTTGACAAAAATTGCAAACATTACGGCCTTTCAAAACATGAATAAACGAACTTCGCACCGAATCGTTTTTCATTAGCAATGGTAGCAATCGTTGGTTACAGATATAAATTAATTTACTTTATATATCCTACCTTTCCAACTATCCCCCAACAATAATCGCATACGTTCCCAGTATCAGCTCTTTTTAATAATTATATTTATGTTATTTAACATTACAAAAAGTAATGATCGACTATAAAAAACATATATTTGAAAAAGAGCCAAGGCCTGTGCAAAGAAAAAAACAATTAATTTCATACCAAAATACTGTACTATACTAAACGTAAAGACAATTTTGACAATTTAAGATGGTGAGGCTAGGGTAACTTTTGTCTAAATTCTTAATTTTTTGACAAAGTTTTATTCATATTTAATAATTGTTTAAACACACGATTGTTTTAAAATTATACCACTTAAATAATATATCAATTTATAAATAAAACTTGCTTAGTCAAAAATTTAGTAGTAAACGAGCAACTATTTTGCACAATTTGATCTTGGCATGCATTTAAATATTAATTTTTTTCTATAAAGTAGAAAAAACTTCTTTATACCAAACTCTACATTATTATATTGTATATTATATAATACACGTTAAAAATATAAATAATATTAAATTAGGTACTTAATATTTATGTATTTTAAACACATTACAGTCAACAATATATATTTTACACCCAATGTAACGTCGATTTAGTAGTTTAAGTTTATTATCGAGTATTTTTCATTGATTTTTGGGGTATACTTCTATTTGTATGACTATAATTGCAAATATTTACGTACTACCCTCGTCCTATTTAACAAAACGTATTTCAAATTATTATCAGTGAGAAAAAACACGAACAAATCAAATGTGGAGGGAAGTTGTTTTAAGTCTTTTCATACTGCCCAGCATGAGGTATGTGCGCAGATAAAAGGACGCAATTACTGTCGTGATAATTCAATGGTCTGTCGCATGTGGCGACCCTCTTGAGCACGTCCGATTCGCCAAAACCACTCGTATATTTACACGGGGGTGTACAAAGTATATCAGACTAACTCTAACACGAACATCAGATAATATCTAACTAACGACCGTATTTGTAGTAAGCGTTCTATTTAAAGCTCAATTAAAAATAAAATTAAACTTTTAAACTAGTTTTTTAACCTATATAATAAGTAAACGTATAATTAATAATTTCATTGTTTATTTATTTAACGAACCAATGTTTTTTTTATACAAATTTTTATCTATATTTTAAGAGCATACAGTTTAATGATATTAGCGTTAGATTAAGTTGTTATAGGAGTTATTTAGAAAACAACATAATGGCTGAATTACGTCAGGGACACACACAGGAAAAAGTTTTAGGAGGTGTTTTTTAAAATTAGTCATTGAAAATTAGAACTTTTTTTTTTAATAAACATATAAATGATTAGATTAGATTTGGTTAATCTAAATACTTTGGGCTAAAAACGTTCTAAATACTTAAAATATCATATAGGTAACTAATATGAGTATTAATGAAGCATACCCCTTAAAATTGTAGCATTGTTTCTTTAAAATTATACACTGTTTACAAGAAATACAGACAGGTAAAAGCATGCATGAAAAAATAATCCTCACCTTCTTAATGTCTTGTTTACACGATGCGAGTACTTGTAACTCACACTAGTGCTTTTAACATGCAACATAACTACGTGGTCAGACGTACAACACAACTTATTAGGTAATATCGGTAGTAGATAGTAACAAGGTAGTATATTATAAGATGTATTCTAACTACCTTGCATACAATAAGTGATAATTAAATTGAGAATAAGTTGATGTAAAGAAATTGTGATGATGATTAGCACCACTTAGCGATCACACGTTGTGAGTGTAGTTGCAAGTGAGTACAATAGTTATAAAGGTGCCGAGGGGGTAGCTACTTGTCGTTAGTAAATAGACCTCGGTTCTATTTACTCGCACTTGCCACTTCCACTCGCACTCGTACAATTTTTTCTGTTTACTCGTAAGATATTAGTATGAGTGACAAGTAACAATTACAAGTACTACTTTCTTAATTTTTAGAGTGTAGCGAGGGATCCATTGGTTTTATTATCATGTATGTGTATTTTACATTTTGTATCTGTGAACAACTCTTCTACCAAAAAACTTCCTCCGAAGTATAGACTTGTTGGTGCATTAGGATTTAGGAAGGTTATTTTTTTATTTTCCAAGGGGTTTTTAAATTAATCGGCAAAAACCAGATAGAGAATTATAAGTAAAATAGTAAATATTTACGGCCTGCCGTGGCATTACCGTGTTTATTGTTTTATGTTTACGCGATGTTTTATACCAGAAATATTGCTCTAATCCAAAAATGACAAGAGGTCAATTTGGTTCCTCTTAATATTTTGCCTCGATTAAAGTAACTCAATTTTCGATATCTAAAGTAGTTTTCCTAATAATTTGGAAAAATTAAAAAAAGAGAAACATACGATTTTTTTTTTTCAAATTATGGTACAACATTATTTTAAATTTGTATGGCTTATGTGTTTTACTATAAATATTGTTCCAATAAATAAACGATAAGAGAACTTTTTTTTTGATTGTTTAATCTAGTTGGTGACCAAAGAAAGTCGTTTTTTGATTTTTTTTTTTTTTTTTTTTTTTTGTACTTTTTTAAATAATTGAGCAAAACTGAAACAAAATGTAGAAAGAACAGTAAAATTTACGAAAATTATTCTTTTATTATTTTAAAGTTAGTTTTTTGTATATAATTCAGTTTGAAATATTCGTAGTGACTTAAAATATTAACAGAAAACTTATATTTACTTTTATATACGTGTTCAAATTTTCAAAATATTTGAGACATTTTTGAGCTTCTATTGATATTTTAATTTTACGAGTTTTATACGTAATTTTTATTTGGTAGGTTCTCTGTGGATAATATTGTTAAACCAAAAATAAATGCTTGGAAATTTAATAACTGGTTTATTATTGTTTGTACATACAGTGATCAATAAGAAAAATTTGAGTTTAATGTAGTTTTAATTTTTTTTTAAGATTTTTAAAATCAAATTTTGACGAACACCCTAAATATTAGGGCTTTTCAAAACGTGCTTATATAACCGAACTTGACTCCGAATCGTTTTTGTTATCAACGGTTTATCTTCGGTTACAGATATAAATTAAATAACTTCGTATCCCACCTTCTCCACTACCCACCTACAACAGTGGCTGCAACATGGTCATATTTAGAAATTTCGCGAAAAAAGCTATTTCTTAAAATGTAAGGTATAACTATTTTGTTACATACAATTTTGGTCCACAGAAAATTAAACCAAAAACCTACATATTATGCTACTCTCACTAATTTAATATTGGCAAATTAGAAATATATACAATATACACTATATACATTTATGTGTGTTTTATTATTTGTCAAATTTATTATGAATAATAATTATGATCATAAACATTTAACAAAATATATTTTAACCAGTGGTGTAGTGGAGGGGGTTCGCGGACGTGTACCCACTTGTGTCCAGATTTAAATCAAACCATTTAATGAAAAAATTGGTTACTTCATTAAAAAAGTGATAAGAATAAAAATTATTATTGAATTATTATTTAGCGCTTATCATATTAACCTAGTAACCCTGGTTGTTAATGATGTTTTCTGTTAGAAAAGTGGCGCACAGATAAAAAATTAATAATAATAATTAATATCTTTGTAAAACTATAAGCTTTTTCACTCTATTCAGAATCTAAAAAAATTTAATAAAACAATGTATAATTTATTATTAAGTAATGCATTTTATATTAATAATTCAAATCTATGTATCCAAATAAATTTATAATTTTCTCCTTGACTGAAGGTTTGAAAATAAAGTTATTATTTATAAATAGTGTGTTTATATATAATTTATAATTTACAAACTTGAAATCTGAAATAGAAATTCCTCTAATACTTTAAGTGTTCAATAAGAAATAATTTAAAAAATATTGCGTTCAAGTGGATTAATTAATAATAATAATTCATTGTCAATACATATTAACAATTGAGTTATTATTTTTTTAAATAATCGTCAAATACGTACATAAAAGTATATTATTAATGTAATATTTATTTATTGCACAGAGTATATACATTGTTAAGGATTACCATAGTAACACAGATAAAATAAAAACAAATTTAAAGGTTGGTAACATGAATGAAAAGAAAACTAATTGAAATATAAAATAACATTAAAAATATTTTACACTACAAATCTGTCCACGGGTGAAGCTGGGTAGTACAGCTAGTATAATACAGGCTGTCTGATATCTCCGGAAATAATAAAGATAATCAAATTCTGTTTTTTTTTTATATTACTCGTATTGTGTAACACGGTTAAGTTATTCCCTAGATAACATCGGTTTTCACACGGATTAGTTGAATTAATTACGGCTGTTACTTAGAAACTATTAATCGTATATAAATGTGTGATACATTCAAATTTTCAGAAAAATATATTATACAGAATGGCTATTTTAAAATTGTCCAAAAATAATAAAATTAGAATTTATTTTTAAATTTTTTTAATAAAAAAAAAAAACAATTTAATTATCTTAATTATCTCCGGAGATCTTCTATGTTAATATAATTATATATAACTACGCATGGTTATTTTTTAAATAATCACAAAAAAACAACTATTTTTATCAAAATTATTACTTGCATCCAGCTGGAAATCAAAAAGATTGTTATAAACTTTTATAATTTTTGTTTATCATTTATCATGAATCGTGATTATTTTTGTCTATTATTTTGTATTGTCTATTATATATATATATATGTTACGACTAATGTTGAAAATTAGGTAATGTTAAATTTTTGTTCAATAAATCCAGTTTTGTGTTGTAACTTTTAATATTAGAATGAATTAGCAGATTATCAAACATAAGAACATTGCCTAAGTTTATACGTTGGTTTTTTTTTATGCCTACATAAAACTGACGGTTTGTTCGTTATTTAAATTTTTTAGCGAGATTCGATTTTTAAATTTTAATACTTTATATAATTTTTATCTACAATAATTAGAATATCGAGAAAAAAAATCGAATTCACTTTTATGTTAAAATTAATAGCACAAAATTAAGTTTACTAAACAAAAATTTGACATTATCCAAGTTTTAATACTAACCGTAACAATTGGTATAAAATATATGTACATAATATGAAGAATATTTTTTTGCGCTATTTTTCAAAAATAAAAGGTCGCCTCTGGAATTTTGTTATATATACTTGGTTTCGTAAAGTTATAGATTAATGAATACAGATTACAGTAAAATATTTCTATGAGATTGATTGTGTACCTTATTAATCGTCCCAAATATCCCATAATAGTTCTCGTATAATTAACAAATATAATATTATTTACCAATAAAACATAGGTAAGATACAAAACTATATACAGATATCTACCTCATAGAAAACATAACTTTCCTTATTTAGATTTTGTGTTTATAGAAAGAAATATATTGATTTCACAGGTTTTAATAAAATTTGTTTTTTATTCTATCCATGAAAAACTTTTCCACTTAACTTTTTGTAGAAAATATTGTATAATTGATAAATTATGATTAAATGAATTTAAAACGTTGAACTCATATAGCTGAATACAATTTCTATCGATATTTTTTTTTTTTTTAACTTGGTAACTCGTTACTATTTTGAGGTCCTTAGCGGAGTGAAGAATGTATTAGTTTTATAATGATGTTTATTTTATTATTATTATTATTTTATACTGTGTACAAAAATTCTACCAGAAATCTTGCTCCGAAGTAAAAGAAGTTCTGAAAGGAAATTTTCGTGGGGTGCTACTTTAAGGAGACTTTTGATTTTTCTAGGGGTTTTCATAATAAATGGTATTCGATTGTTGGTACGTGGTGAAAAAAACCTTATCGTGTATTATTCGTTTTAGAGCCGGACTTAGTCACTATTGTGTATACGATAATTTACCTATAACATATTGTAAATTGACGGAAGTGATTTAAGGAAAAAAAAATGAAATATTCTCTTACCCGAAGATTTAGAAGTCTGTAGAACGTCTCCGATGAGGTCTCTGATGAGGAACGACGGTTTCGGACATTCCATGATACAAGTGCACAATGTTCCTTCTCACCCGATTACTCGGTGGCGCAAGACGTATTGCACGTGGTTATGGTATTAGAATACCGATGTGTCCGTGGTACCACGAATATGTGGTTTTCTCGGGAAGTATTATATTATAAAAAAATGTGATATATACCAGGAACACGGTGTATAATACGATTTCGGTACAAGTACGTGTACGTGTGAGCACGTATTATATGTGGTGTATTATATTATACGTTATACTCTGTGACCTGTGCGCCGATCACTGCGTCCTTCTAAAATGATCGTCGAAAAGCTGTTATAGTGACGTGTGCGCAATTAAATTCGCGAGTAAAGAGTCAGGAGGAGCCTGCGTGTCGATGATGAACCGCACGATGTATATCTATAAGTAAACCGGCATTTTCCGCCACCGCGCTCTGACGAGTATACTCCCGTTGCTTACCCCGGCGTTTATTATAATACGCGTGCGCGCGAGTGTGTGCGTGTGTGTGCAACGAGCGTATTAATGTCGCGTGGTTTATAATTCGCGCGCGAGACGGGCGAATTTGCGCAACGAGCGGGCCCGTTCCCGCCCGCCGTCGTCGTTTCGTACGGTAACGATGCAGCGGCGAGCAAAGCAGTCAAGATTATGCGGGCCTGCGGTTGGCCGGTCCGCAATTTCTGGAGTCCAGCCCTCCGTCGTACTGCCGGCCCCATTAAAATGCATACGCACCGCGCCGCCGCCGTTGCCACGTCCATATATTATTCGTGTAATAACATCATAATAATATTTTACCGAGCAAAAAAGTAAGTTGTAAGTGGTCTCGGTATGCATACAATATAATATTCATACGCTAGCTTTTTAATATATATTATACATGTGATATGTATACACGTACATATTATAATATTATTTAAATATAAGTACACATACGTGAAGGCTAGTATATTCTCGCCCTTTCCGTTTTCGATGTATTATGTTTGTTATCCATCTTGATCTCAGAGTAGAAATATTATTATTTTCATCACGAAGATAACATATTATAATTTAATATACGAATACGGGCGGGTACAGGTATTAAAACATAAATTAACAGGCTTCTAATGAGATGTACTCGTACGTTTTAAATAAACGTGTTATAACTTATGACTAAGTTTAGAGCATAAGAAAAAGAACAATAAAATATTATTATATGTAGTGTGTAGAGATATATACATATGAGATACCACGAATTTGTTTTAAAAAACCTCTTGTTAAATTTCTAGGCTTTCTACTCAACCAAAAACTATGTTATTTAATAAATAAAAACACATTTAACATTATATTAATTTGGTAATTAATAACTAAATAAATTATTCACACCTATTTTATTAATAATTTAAGGATATTGCGTATTTATTGATGTAATTATTTAAATTCTTAAATATAATTTTATACTTGGTATATTAATTATTTATAATTATATTTCATAATTTTTCAGCAAGTATAAAAGAAGCTAAAAAAAAAACTGATAAAAAAACTTTTACCCCCCCAAAAATTTTTTCTATTTATATTAAACAATTTATTATTGAATTTTAGCTTAATCACGATTCTTAAATACGCGTTTTGAATGACGCCCTGCGTCATGAAATAAAAAAAAACAATAAAAAAATGTAGTATTTTTGTGATTGTCAACTAGTGTTTTATTATGTTATAATAAATTACAAAATATACATTAAAAATTAGTACTTTTGATTGAATAGTAATTGGTACAATATGTTATATGCATAGTTAAAGTATAACATAAATTCGACAAAAGTGCCCACCTAAGATATTAAAGGAAATTATATCAATCGGTGCTTAGGGTTTAGGGATGGCCTGATCTGGTCTTACTAGTGTAGATAAATTACAAAATTCTAAGAAAAGAAAAGACAGACATACTTCACTTGATGGGTGGAACACTGTTGTAGATGAGAAGTTGGAAAGGTAGGATATAGAGAGGAATTTGTATTTGTATTTATATCTGTAAGTAAGGATTAATCATTGCTAACGAAAAACGATTATGAGCAGAGCTCGGTTAACAGTATTGCTTGTTCTACAATATATATTTCATACATGTATATACGACGGCTTGGGTCTCTCGGTGTACCCAAAACACATTTTTTCTCCTGTAACCTACTCGACACGGTTTTGCAAACACAATTTTTCGGAACTCAGATTTAAACTTGCAATCTTTGGGATCAACTGGTACGTACCACCACTAGACTACGACAGACCAACTATGAAATTGACAATATTGTATTATTTATTGATACTTTTTGTTGCAAATCAAGTTTTTACAAAAATTAAATACATTCTACATTATTATCAGGCAAATGTAAATGTAATAATAATTTATGCTACGTTTAAAATAAGAAAACGATAAAGTTTAATGTTGGTTGAGTATTTAAGACGAAGAATTGTATGATAATATACTTAATCATTCACTCATCATACTAATAAATCAGACTCATCATCATCTGAAGGTAAAATATAACCTTTGTATAATTTTAAATGAAGACTTATATTTAATTACAGTAAATATTGTATAGGTACCCAAAATATTTATATGCCAGACTAAAATTTGTTAAAATTTGTGATACCTAATATTAAAGGAATCATTTTTTAACATCGATGTATTTAAATTTTAAATTACCTTAAGTAATTTTATTTTTAATAATTATAGGTAATTTTAAGAAAAATGTGAATTGCTATTAGGTCATCACATAAAACCTTTCTGTGTTAGTTGCACCTGCTAGTGTGAATCTTTTAAATGCACTAACTAGACAAAAATCATTGATAGAAAAGTCGTTTACAGAAAAAAAAAATTGAATTTGAAACTAAAGCACACAGCATAGTAAAACTAATATACATTCAGTTTTTCGTTCAGAAATTTTAACTTAAAAATAAAATAATGTATAGGTATTTAAAAACTATTTCATATATGGGAAAAAAAGAATTACATTAATAATAAAAATTGAAATCCAACGCATAACCTTATTATGGAGTGAAGCGCCACTACAGTTGTAGTGATTTACAAATTAAAAAAAACTTACGAGTGTAAAGTTGGCCACCCAAACATATCTAAATTACATAAAATAAATTATAAGTTAAAAAGCTCAATTTGTAAGTTATTGTAAGTTGATTTTTTGAATTTGTAACTTCTTTAATTCAAAAAAATTGCCAACATTAAATGGGGTAGAATGAACTCTACACAAGCCCCCCGCATTTTGTCCAAATTAAACCGGATAAATTATAAGTTATAGGTCTTAACTTGTAAGCAGAGGCTGATTAATGGGCTTTATCACCAATAGGCTGAGGTTGAATTGATAACCTTTTCTTTTTATGTCTCTACGCCTATTGTCACTGAAATTATAGTTACAAGTTTTTTAAAATAAATAAATTAAAAAAAAAAAAAAAATGATTTTCTGCGCTCCTATTTGACATTTTCTGATTGGCTCCTAAGGCTGCAGCCTATTCAGCCTATTTGTTAATCACACCTGATTGTAAGTAATTGTAAATTGGTTTATGCAATTTTTTAAGTCACTATCCGAAACTGAACAATAAATACAACTAACTATATTGTTTTATAATAATATTATTATACCTATTATATAGTGTTAACAGTTGTGGACCCTCCACCGGTCGCTTCCCAATAAGTGTATTAGTATAAAAGTATTTATCCCTAATATAGTTTAAGCTTGATCTTAAGAGGACGTTATACCCGCATCTACTATCTCAGCCCAACTACCGGGTAATATGTAAAAACAATGCTTACGTAGAATAAATAAAACTAGCTCAACTTTGACTTTAAAGTAAAAGTAACTATTATGAAATTTATAGAAAACATCATTCTGGAGGGAATTCCATAGAGTTTTTACTAAGGTTTTTGTAGTATTCAAAATATGTGGTTCGATATAATGAATACAAAAACCTTTAATTTTTTTTTTGTTTTTTAAATAACTGTAACTTTTTAGGTAGTTCATAATTCAAAAAAACACCTACGATATTCCTTCCAAAATATTGTACTCTAAAAATTTTTCCAAACTCAAAATTAAGCTTATTCTGAGTAAGTATTGTTTTTGATTGTTACCCGGTAGTTGGACTGAGACATTAGATGCCGGTATAACATCCTCTTAATCGTAACTCTTACATGCATTTTCAAAATCTTTACTTGCGTTTTCTTGTTTTAGATTCAAACCTGAGTGTTAATGTTAGATATTTGGGTATTATATACCCAATTGTTAATATATATATATTAGATATTTTAGATAAATATTTTATCTTATCTATAATACAATGCAAATTACGTTTTCAAACTTAATATGGCGTATTTTTATTTACATTATTAGTGTCAATTTCTAAATTCTAAATAAGCGGTTCCCAAACTGCGCACCGGCCAAGTACTTTCCGGCGGCACCATGACTCATAAAAATGATTGATAATTTGTAGTCATTTTTTTAATTTAAATTTTGTTAATTTCAAAGCGAATTTTATAAAATAAAACATGTATCAACCTCTTTCTGTATGAATTTTTTGTTTCGAAAAAAACATTGTGTATAGATTTATAGTCGAGATGACATGAAAAAATACTTAAAAAAATTGTTGACCTCTTTTGATCCTAATAAAGCCCAAAATTTAATGTGTGCTAATGACAAAACGTGCACCAAAACTATATATTTGTGCAGGACTTCATATATTAAATCACTAAGACATATGCAGTTATAAAACAAAATTAATATAATTACACCATATTATATTTATTTAATCATTTATTAATTTGTCTATTACATTTATCTGTTTTCATCTATTTTATAAATTATAGTTTGTAATTTTACCGATAGACAAAAGTATCTTTTATTCAAAATTATTTAATTATTCGTGTCGAATTCAACCATATAAGAAGTATTGGAATCGAATAATTTTTCAGTGAAATAATCGATAAAAATTAATTTGTGCAATTTTTGGTACAATATGCGGAAAGGGATTAAGTCGGCTCTATACTTATAATGCTTATATTTTATTTTATTCGAAAAGATTATAAAAACTAATTATTAATAAGAATTAGTGTTAATTTTGTATGTATACGAGGGCTAATCAAAAAGTATTGAGACTGATAATATTACTCGGAAACCGAGCGTTGAAGAGCAAAACGATT